CTGTAAAGATTTTCATTTGACATTCTAGTGAACCCTGAAATGTTGAGTACCCCAAAGTGTTATGATAGTAATGTATAGCTGTCCCCAGTACATAGAAACTGCCGGATGCTAACTTGCATATGTTGGGCAATTTGCACAATTAGCATAAGTTGAGTTAATTAAGATGAATGGCATTATCGCATAACAAAAGTAAAACAATTATGTGGCCGATTTGGAGTGGTGTTGGGGCGATTTTCAGAATCAATGATGGCAGATTTAACCAGAAAGTGGCCATATTTGCGCTCTTGGTGTGCTGATTTTGACTACCATGAGTAATGTTGCAACCATTGGATGTACAGAGCACAAGATGGAAATTATTACTTCCACTGTGGACAATTATTTTTCCAATAAATAGGCAATCTGTCCAATACAGATACATTTCTAACATAAAACTTTAGGGTACATTTCCGGGTTAACAACAGGACTCTATACGCTGACAACTAGACTATTTAGCTCAGGGGTGTCAAACTCAAGGCCCGGGGGCCAAATCCGGCCCGCGACATCATTTTCTGTGGCCCCACAAGAGCTCTGAAAGAATATAATATGTTTATTATACGGTTACATGGCGATTTACAGAAGCACGTTGCCCATGAACTGCATGTCCCACAATGCATCTCAAATTTGACTTTTTTCTCAGAATTTGACTTTTTTTTCTTCAAAATATGCCTTTTTTCTTAGAATGTCCCCTTTTCTTTTCAAAATGTCACTTTTTTTTCCAGAATTTGGCTTTTCTTTTTAAATCATTTTGTGACATTCTCACTGAAGAGACTTGCAATTATTTGCCCTAGACTTCTGCTTTCAGACGTAGTTAATTATGAAGTTATTACCCTATCAGATAATAATCCAATGCAGAGCCAATCATGTAATATAATGCAATGTTTTATATATATAACATTTTTATATATGTATTTTGATATAGTCTTAAAGTTACAACCGGCCCTTTGAGTGCAACCATAATTCCTCATGGCCCGTGATGAAATTGAGTTTGACACCCCTGATTTAGCTCATCTTATTCTATTTTACTTGTATTTAGTGAACTACTCCTGCATTATTTGCCCATTAGTCTATTTTATTTGTATTGTTTTATGCCTTATATCTATTTATGTTGCATTGTTGGTGTAGCCTGGGAATGCCTCCATGAAAAATCGTATATATTTCACAAACACGCCTGCAAAAATGTCAGAACTGTTCATGCAGAACGGTCTAAAATAGTGAGGAGAAATTGCACGTGTTTGTGAAGTAGTTACAGGATAAATTCAATTGTGCAGGAGTTTGTAAACTGATGTTTATATAGTTTTAGTGTTGTGACATACTGCCGTAATTCACCCACAGGAAACACGTGGAGAATTTTCTCAGTTTTTTGGATTCTACCTTCACCGAGAAAAACTCATTTGTATTTCAGAAATGAAGGACACTGGGGGTAAAGCAGGGTGTCCAAACTACGGCCAAATGCGGCCCGCGGAACATTTTGAATCGGCCCTCAGCTAATTCTAAAAGTATAATGAAATATGGCCAACAAATACAAATTCTGCTTGTCTTATATCGTACTTCTTAAATATACATGTTCAAATATATTACACAGTATGCATGTGTTAATAAACCCAATTTTCAAACAATTCAGTCAATTAAAGTTGAAAACCTTTTCTAACAAATCTAAGGTGATAAGAAAAAATCCCAATAACAAATGTACATAACAACCTCGAAATAAACCCTTCATATTTCCTCTAATTATAAGTAATCTGAAGCTTCTGTTTTAAGGAATGAGCTGCCAACACTTTTTGTAACAAAATAAATGAAACCCTCTGGAGAGCTGTGATGTAGGCGTTTTTTTTTCTTAAAGGCATTTTCAAGTATCAAGAATAATTTACCTACATTTGATAGATTCTTCCAACTCATAACTGAACTTATGAGGCGATATACCTCTCCTCTAGCGAGTGGCGCAGCCCTTCGTATATTCTTCTGTATGTGGCCCTCGGGGAAAAAGCTTTGGACACCCCTGGGGTAAAGGATGTGTGTGGTAATGTCATTCTTTACCTCGGACACGTCCAGGTGTTTGATGTTCCAGCGAGTTGGGTCCAGAGTTGTCGTGAGATTGATGTAAAATGTCGTGAGATTGATGTAAAATGCATCTGTGTATTGACTTTGAGTTTTTGGATTTCACCTGATGATAAAGGTGTCTTGAGAATTCCTCCTGAACAGAGTGCATCCTGGGACGTGTAGTTCTCTTGTTTGTGAGAAACCATCTTCCCCTTTGAGCACAATGTACACGTGTTAAACCAACACACTCTCACTCCCTAAGCGTCCAGAAGCGACGCTTGGTCAGGGTCCCGTGGCGTCCAGTTGTGACGCGCCGAGGCTCCTTCAGCTTCATAAACGGACGCAAAGAGCTTTCAACTGATTGCAATGTATTCCCATCGGCGTCGGTATTTGACGCTTAGGGAAGCATGGCATTCGTTTGTATCGGAGGCTGTTAAAGGCAATGTGAGCGTCCATTCCCATTGGATAACGGAGAATTGTACACCCGGAAGTAAGTATTCCCCTTACTGTCGATTGATTTGACAGTGATATCTCCACTACTCATCAACTCAAAAACACCAGATTACTGTATCCTTGTTAATTAAATGACATTGATAGGTTTTAGTGTGTGTACAATGCTTTTGTCACGTTTTCCCCTTCAATTCTGAGAAACAAGTCGTTTTCTATGAGTTTTGGATGGCCGAAGACATGACATTACCCACAATCCTCTGTAGCAACCATAGACTGTATAAAACAATTAAATAATACATTATTCCGAGTGTGCTTGCTTTTCTCTTTGAAAGTCATCACATAACGGCATTGTAATACACGTTTCGGCTGCATTAAATATGACATATCTGCCGTAGTTAACTCTATGTATAGAGCCCTGATGACAAGACTTCTAGACAAACAGGAACTGCCGCCAAAACTGAAAACTTGACGTGGATCATAAATATATAAGCAATTAAACAACATCTTACATTTCTTTTCACACAATACGTCTCCTTGCACTATCAACACTAATTCGGCTGACTTTTATATTTGATCCAATTGGTAGATAGGCTGTATTTACGCCATAACGGTGCACAGCTGATAGAAAGGGACACCTACTGGTTAAAGCACGTTATTGCATTTTATAATTGTATTATTAGATATTAATAGGAGGATGTGCAAAACAGACAAACTAATAAAGCTTTATTTAAACATTAAAGAATACTTTAGGTTAAGGTTTTCTTTTGAATAAGAAAAAAGCTTTGGGGGTATAGAAGATGAATACGGAGGGATGAAACCCTCTTTGATGGTCACACATGCAGAGCACAAGCACACACAGTGACATTTGTATCTACAGATAAATATTAAGCCTGACAAAGTTCTTAACGTCTAATATATTGCTTTCCCGCAATGTTAACTATGTTTAAGCACTTATTTTAACTGATATTATACATATGTATTATACTCTTATAAGATGTATGTAGATAGTATAAGAAATGTGCAGAATATAACAATGTAATGGTGGAGGTACACACATATTGATAGATGTCTTGTAATGCACTGTTGAGGAACCTGCGACCCAAGTTTTTCATTCATTGCATAACTACACCGTAGTTGTGTATAATATGATATGTCAATAAACCTTAGAAAATCTTGAAATCTTGAAAGGGATGTGCAAAATAGTCATTATATACAGTCTTTAATTAACTATTAGTAGAGAATAACGACGAGTAAAGAATATACTTTATAGGGATCCTATTAATATCTAATAATACAATTATAAAATGCAATAACGTGCTTTAACCAGTAGGTGTCCCTTTCTATCAGCTGTGCACCGTTATGGCGTAAATACAGCCTATCTACCAATTGGATCAAATATAAAAGTCAGCCGAATTAGTGTTGATACTGCAAGGAGACGTATTGTGTGAAAAGAAATGTAAGATGTTGTTTAATTGCTTATATATTTAAGATCCACGTCAAGTTTTCAGTTTTGACGGCAGTTCCTGTTTGTCTAGAAGTCTTGTCATCAGGGCTCTATAAATAGAGTTAACTACGGCAGATATGTCATATTTAATGCAGCCAAAACGTGTATTACAATGCCGTTATGTGATGACTTTCAAAGAGAAGAGCAAGCACACTCAGAATAATGTATTATTTAATTTTTTTATACAGTCTATGGTTGCTACAGAGGATTGTGGGTAATGTCATGTCTTCGGCCATCCAAAACTCATAGAAAACGACTTGTTTCTCAGAATTGAAGGGGAAAACGTGACAAAAGCATTGCACACACACTAAAACCGTCGTTTAATTAACAAGGATACAGTAATCTGGTGTTTTTGAGTTGATGAGTAGTGGAGATATCTCTGTCAAATCAATCGACAGTAAGGGGAATACTTACTTCCGGGTGTACAATTCTCCGTTATCCAATGGGGATGGACGCTCACATTGCCTTTAACAGCCTCCGACACAAACGAATGCCGTGCTTCCCTAAGCGTCAAATACCGACGCCAATGGGAATACATTGCAATCAGTTGAAAGCTCTTTGCGTCCGTTTATGAAGCTGAAGGAGCCTCGGCGCGTCCCAACTGCACGCCTCGGGACCCTGACCAAGCGTCGCTTCTGGATGCTTAGGGAGTGAGAGTGTGTTGGTTAAACACATAGAGGTTTCCTTTAATTATCTGATCATTTTGGGTAGCTTAGTTTAATACAAGTCAAGGAAAACAAGGTCTAATCACAAATAAAAGAGAGTTATAGAAAAATCAGGAATAATACACTTTTTTTTAAAGAACAGAATTCAAGTTGTTGTTCCCCCTTTACTATCAGTAAAATGTCCAAGGACGTTTGGATTATTTTTATATGTGTTATCAAAGACATCTGGTGGATTCTCACGTGCCTTGCCAGTGACCTGTTTAACGTGGATATAAAGACGGGAACAGAGCGAGACGTGTCACACTTCTCTGTCTGAACAGCGATATTTCAGAATGAGGAGAGCTGCAGTTTTTCTGGCGTTGCTGCTCTGTCTGCTCTGGACGGGGGCTCAGGGTGAGGATGGTGGGGGGACAGGGAAGAAAGAGGGGGAGTTTGATATCCAAGGAGTGAAAGCATCCCACGATCAGAGCAGCAGTGAGACCCAGATGAGAACTGACGTCTCGGCTGAGCTGAAGGAGCTCAGAGACATTGCCATCGAACACAGGATCAAGATCCAGAGGATGGAGCAAGACAACACAGGTAACACAGCTGACGTCAAACACACTGAGAGCCACATCACTGATGCTATTGATAATGATATCTTAGATTTAATCATGATTGTGAAAGTGTTTCTACTTGTTCAAGCTCCTGAGTAACATTTAGCGTGATCCTAATAGAAAAACTCATATGTGTTCAGCTCTAGAGGCCAAGATGAGCTTCAGTGAAAAGGAGGTGGAGGAGCTGAAGATAGACACTGCAGGTAAGTGACAAAAAGCTCATAAAAAATAAAAAATGACCTGTCTTATGTGAGAAAAGTAATGTTTAACTTACACGGGAGATAAGAGAAACACATTTAAAATACTGATGAGATATAAATGTTGTTTCGTATTAGCCATTAACCTGCTTTTTCGTAAAAATCAAATTTGTTAAATTGAAAGAAACTGAAACCATTATTTTATTTCACAGATTTTTTTTTACATTTGTTCAGTTTCAGAGGCCAAGAGGAGTTCCAGTGAAAAGGAGGTGCTGGAGCTCAAGAGAGAGAATGCGGGTAAGCCACAAAAACATCATAAAAAATGATGCCAACAAAATGAAGACACGATCTTGTTTAAAAGTCAAAAGTTATTTACCTGTTTTCTATGTCGAAACATGTTTCAGCTTTGGAGGCAAGAATGAACTCTAGTGAAAATGATGTGGAGGAGGTAAAGAGAGTGAACGCAGGTAAGATATAGAAGTATAATATAAAAGGTAAATATTGCCTATATCAGTGGTTCCCAACCTTTTTCAGTCAGGCCCCCCTTGTGTAATTGGAAATATTTTCGAGCCCCCCCTAATCCGGTTCCCACGAGATTAGTATAATTAATTGTATATAGTTGTACAAACATTACATTTTCTCTGCTAATAATAACAAGACAAAAAGATCCAACTATAACTTGATATATTATTATGGATTGAACATGAACAAAAGTGCTTATATTGCCAGATGATCCTGTGCCACTGTGAAATAATGAGGCCTAATTGAAACAATTGCAAATACGTTTTATCGATCCGGTTCTTTAACAGTATTTTTATAGGTTATTTTTTAGGGGAAAAACTAAACAAATTTGAAACAGAATTCACATTGATTAATTGAATGTATACTGTGGATTATGGGCTGCTATAGCAAGTAAGTAGATTTACTGTAAGTACTGTACTTATATTGAGGTACTTAAGTATTTCCTCCTCTACAGTCCAGAGGTAGATGGTGTACTTTTACTTCATCACATGTATTTAATACCTTTAGTTACTTTACAGATGTGGATTAATGATGTGAAATATAATGAACTCTTAAAGGGTAAGTAAGTTTGAGAAACCGGCTCGAGATACACTTTTTGTTATATTCCATGGAATGCTCTTAACATCCCGATAGCAATGAATATCTGAAGTGCTTTGACAAAAAATCCATTAAAAAATGTCATCTGTGGAAGCTGTAGTACTGTAAAAAGCACGACCAATCATCTGAGCCGGCCCGGCTAAAATAACTGGATGGCCTACCTGCCTGTCAGCCTTCCATCTGTGCACAAACTTATCTCGTGCCCTCATTGGTCATGTGCGCGTTCGTGTGTGTTGGAGGAGGGAGCTCTGTGAGGAAGTGGCAGATTTTCTCCGGTTGTGTATTTTCAAATTCTAGCGATCTCGAGCCGGTGCTGTAGCGAGTCTGTGAGGCCCCGCCCCCCACACAGACGAGAGAGAGAGAGAGAGAGAAAGAGAGATCTCCGCACCGAACACGTTAGATGTCAAGGGAGATGTATGCCTCATCATACTTTGTTGATTTGGGCATTATAGCTGAAAGGCCACTTTTCTTTTAACTGCCGGTTGTGTTAAAAATATGTCAATTTTACGAGCAAACAATGTTTGTTTACAACTTCTTCCAAAGCTTCACGCGCCCCCCCTGCAATAGCGCTGTGCCCCCCCAGGGGACGCGCCCCCCAGGTTGGGAACCACTGGCCTATATAATGATAGAAAACGAATGAGTTTGACATAATGAATCAGCTTTTTCTCTTTATTGCAGATCTCCTGGCTCGAGTCACAGCAAGTGACACTAAGAGCACAGGTAGGATTACAAAGTCATTAAAGAAAAATGGAAGAAATTACAAACACAAATCTATATTACTGTGAAGTCGTAAATCCTTTCCAAGTAAAAAAGTGAAAGTGAACATTAGAACACATGTTTTGTACAAAAAATGGTGATGTGTAAAAGCGAATGAAATTCAAAATAGACTGATGACTATAGTTTTATTTTACTATAACAATGTTAATTTGGTTCAGCTTTAGAGAACAGGATGAGCTCCAGTGAAAAGAAGGTGGAGGAGCTCCAGACAGAGAATGCAGGTGAGATACAGAAACTCATAAAAAATGTAACATTTCCCATTTCATAATTAACCTATTAATGGGATGTATCATGAGGTTGTTAATCAGCTGATAACCTGCTTTTTCTCTTTATTGCAGATCTTCTGGCTCGAGTCACAGCAAGTGAGAATAAGAGCACAGGTATGAGTACAAAGTCATCAAAGAAACATTTGAAAACTGACAAATACAAATCTATATTACTGTTAAAACGTTAGAACTTTTTAAAGAAACTGATGACCATAATGTTATTTAACTGTAAAAATGTTAAATGTGTTCAGCTCTAGAGGCCAAGATGAGCTCCAGTGAAAAGCAGGTGCAGGAGCTCCAGAGAGAGAACGCAGGTAAGAAACCGAAACATCGTAAAAAAAAAAATCATTGGCTGTTTGATGTAAAAAAATAGATGGTGAATTTAAAAGTGAGAAAAGAGAAGTACATTATATGTTTAACAGAAATAGTATTAACATATTGATGAGATATTTTGTGGTTGTTTATCAGCTGTTAAAGGTGGGGTAGGTAATTTATTTCAGAAACACTTGTTGTTATATTCCATGGAATGCTCTTAACATCCCGATAGCAATGAACACATTAAAGGCTTTGACAATAAATACATAACAAAATGTCATCTGTGGAAGCCGTGGTACTGTAAAAAGCACGACCAATCATCTGAGCCGGCCCGGCTAAAATAACTGGATGGCCTACCTGCCTGTCAGCCTTCCATCTGTGCACAAACTTATCTCGTGCCCTCATTGGTCATGTGCGCGTTCGTGTGTGTTGGAGGAGGGGCTCTGTGAGGAAGTGGCAGATTTGTTCCGGTTGTGTATTTTCAAATTCAAGCGCACTCGAGCTGGTTTCTCCAAAATGACCTACCCCACCTTTAACTTGCTCTTTCTCTTTATTGCAGATCTTCTGGCTCGAGTCACAGCGAGTGAGAATAAGAGCACAGGTAGGATTACAAAGTAACCAAATAAGAATAGGAGAAAATACAAATATAATTGTATTTTTCTATAAAAACATTGGATTTGTTTGCCGTTTTATAAGGCAACAAAATATTCCAGTGAATTTGAAAAGTGAATATTACAGTATGGTAGAACAATCTTTTAACATAAGATCTGCAATAGTTACATTGAAAATAAGAGACTATAACTTTATCTGACTAAAACAATGTTAAACTTGTTTAGCTTTTGAGGCCAGGATGAGCTCCAGTGAAAAGGAGGTGTTGGAGATCCAGACAGGGAACGCAGGTGAGAAACAGAAACTATTATGAACAGTTAAAATGTTGTTTAATGAAAGTAACTGGTATACTGAGGAGAATATTACATATCAAACTCTGCTGGCTATCAGAATCCAAAAAATAGACTTTCTTTGTTTTAATAGACAGTTTGTTAATGAGCTCTCATCTCTCTGTGAGCATCCTCCTCTTTCTCACAGACCGTCCTCAGGTGGCGTTCTCAGCCGGTCTCACTGATGCAGGACTAGTCGGAGCCTTCAACATTGCAATCACACTGAAGTACAGTAAAGTCTTCACCAATATCGGCCAGGCCTACAACCCAACCACAGGTACTGAGCTCTCTTTCACACACACACACACACACACACACACACACACACACACACACACACACACACACACACACACACACACACACACACACACACACACACACACACACACACACACACACACACACACACACACACACACACACACACACACACACACACACACACACACACACACACACACACACACACACACACACACACACACACACACACACACACTAAGCTTTCTTAATGAATCCATTAAAATATCTCTTAAAGGTCACCTATCATGCTATTTTAAGGCATATATTATGGGTCTCATACAAATATATAAAAACATGTCTATGATGTGTTTTACTAAAAATACAAACAGATCATGCATTTTAGAAACTGTAGGTTCGGGGTCCTTTGCTTGAAAAAAATAAAAAGAGGAGGGGGAGCTAATGCCTGCTCAGAATTGTACCGCAGATTCAGCCAAATTTGCCGTGATTAAATGCAAAATCATGTTCCAAACCACATCAAGGATTATCTCTGAAACAGTATGGAGCTCAAATGCTTTTTCTCTTGCGGGTTTATCACAAGGTGAGTTTCCTGACACACCAGGGACACGTATTTATGTATAAAAGACATCAAAAAGTGCATTTTGCATGATAGGTCCCCTTTAAGTCCTGCTGAAGCACCAGAAACAATCTCCCCTCACTGATCTTCTCCTCTGATGCAGGTATCTTCACAGCCCCCGTCAAAGGAGCCTACTACTTCAGATTCAACCTATGGGGAAACAAAGGTGCAGCTTACACCGCTGTTGAACTTTATCACAACACCCAGATGAAGATGAAGCTTTATGATTACAATGATGGCTCTGGCTTTGTCTCTGCGTCTAACGTAATACTTCTTGAACTGGAGAAGGGAGATGTTGTCTACATCGTTCTGCCCTCCACCTTCCCCATTTTTGATGATTTGTTTAATCGCATCACTTTCAGTGGATTTCTTCTCTATGCTCAGTGACGCCCACTGTAAAACACCCACTGCATTACGTTTCGACACTACATATTAATAAATAAGTGTGTTGACTCAATTAATATAATTGTTTGTGTTTATTTTTGCTTGGTTACATGAACAAAAGGCATTCATTACCATAACAACGTTTTCTACGGACAATATAAGACAAACACTTTAGCAGTGCTGTTGTTGTCCAAACCCCCTAAACTGAGACCAAGTCAAGTCCAAAGAGCTCTCTACAGTCTGTGCCCTGACTACAGAAGTGAGAGACCCTGCATGACACAGATATGAAAGATATATAACATAAAAAACAGAGACACTCCTCAAAATGATCTGTCATACCCACAATCCCAGAAAAACTCAAATGTCTACATTCAACTGGTTTCTTGCCATATATACTTACAGTATATGTTTGCCGTTCACGGAAACAACCGATTATGACCGAGAAATTATATCATGAAAGTTACGGTGCTTATTAAAGGTGGGGTAGGTAATTTTGGAGAAACCAGCTCGAGATCGCTAGAATTTGAAAATACACAGCCGGAACAAATCTGCCACTTCCTTACAGAGCCCCTCCTCCAACACACACGAACGCGCACATGACCAATGAGGGCACGAGATAAGTTTGTGCACAGATGGAAGGCTGACAGGCAGGTAGGCCATCCAGTTATTTTAGCCGGGCCGGCTAAGATGATTGGTCGTGCTTTTTATAGTACTACGGCTTCCACTGATGACATTTTTTAATGTATTTTTTGTCAAAGCACTTCAGATATTCATTGCTATCAGGATGTTAAGAGCATTCCATGGAATATAACAAAAAGTGTATCTCGAGCCGGTTTCTCAAACTTACCTACCCCACCTTTAAGCATTTTAAAACGTATGTGGTAAGTTGCCAAAGTGCTTTGTTTTGAACGTTCATCAGTATTATAATCAAAAAGAGAAATATGAACGTTAGTTTTTACTGAAATGATCAAATAAAGTCAACATTTCACAGTCTTTACTGAGCTGTGTGGGATTTGTTCAACTTTTAAAAGATGTTTGAATGGTGATATACACAGTGATAGATGTTAAGGACTAACGTTTATAATAAATACATTTGTATTGATTTTAAGATCTTTTCATTCAATCATAAGTATTGGGATCATTTGTATTAATGTGGACCGGAGGGAGAGGGTGACGAGCATAAGTTTCACTTTCCTTTTTTATTTCAATTTCAACTTTGGTCATGAAAGCTAATGCAGTATTTTACCTGGCACACCATGACACCATAGTCCCCCACAGCAGGAGAGTGAACCCCCCCCCCCCCCCCCCCCCCCCCCCCCCCCCACTGACTGGACCCTGGCAGAGGGCAGCAGGACAACGGGGGGGCTCTGCTCAGTCTGCAGGGTCACACTGGTGAATAGGTTTGGTGCAGGGCTGAACAAGGTGAAGTGGAGAGAGACCGTATGTCCGTCCAGCCAGCCGTCTGACTGCAGGAGCTTCAGTTTGGACGCAGCTTCAGACCTGCAGAAACACAGGAAGTTTTTCAGCACATTTGGAGACTCCTCATACACTACAAAGACTCAAAATCTTGCCAAGTATATTTGTCTAATATCTAGTCAGAATATGTCTCTACATCTGATATAAGACATAACTACTTCAGAAGTAACACTGCAGTGAGATATAGGGACCTGTTTTTAGACAATGCATCATCTTGTTAAGTCAAACATCTATTTTCAGTCGTATCTCAGATTAAACTTATTTTTTTTTACATATTTATTGGAAAATCACCAACTAACATCAGAAAACAGAAAACTTTTGAGCATTTGCGGATTATATTGTAACACAACATTTCCTGATTCTGGTAAAATATAGTTCAAAATAAGTTTTCCCAGCCAATTACAAGATCTGATTTATCTAAATATCCCTTCTTATTTCAAGAAATGTTAGCAAAGCAAATTGTCACTTGTTCTATTGGCAGATCTTTGTACTTATTTCAAGTGAAGACAACTTGTTTTCATACTTGTTTTTGGAGCAGCATTTTTTCCAGTGCAACAGGCTGGTGCAATAAAAAAGTCAACGTAACATATTTTCTGTGCCTTGAAATATATAAAAACATACTTCACTTAATGTACAAATTTTTTTTTTTCTACCTTAAAGACATTTCCAGAACCAAGGACGGTAGAAAAGCACTTTTAATCTTCTTAGGCATCAGCAGCTTGGGTTTGAAGGAGGCTGTTTTAGCAGCTTTAAAGGGAGGAGAAATAAGCAAGGTCGTTATCCAGACGCTTTCTTTAAGCAGACATTTTCTCATACTGAAGGTGAAGTCTTGTTCAGTCCGAGCACAATGTCTGAGAGAGGCATGGAGGTGTTAAGTATGAACAGGCGGGCCCGAGAGATGATTAGGAGCAGGAGAAGTCAAAGATTGAATTGAGAATGAGTTCAGAGGGATGGGCGGAAGAACTGCAGACAGGGAAAGTGTGAGGACGGTGGAAAAGGTTGACATTGAAAGCTTTTTTAGTGACCAAAATTGCCACTCTGCCTCTGGAACACACTAATGGGTTTGTGGTTATAACGCCTAGATTTGAAACAAGGAGCAGGAAAGGTATAATTTGACTGTAAAGAACATAAAAAAAGGAAAAATGGCGGTGAAATGACATTGAAGTAACAAAAATGGACAAAGAGATGTGGGCCTGGGTCTTCATCATGAGTCTGAGTCTTCATCATGTCTTCATCATGAACCTGAGTCTTCATCATGTCTTCATCATGAGCCTGAGTCTTCATCATGAGTCTGAGTCTTCATCATGAGTCTGAGTCTTCATCATGTCTTCATCATGAGCCTGAGTCTTCATCATGTCTTCATCATGAACCTGAGTCTTCATCATGTCTTCATCATGAGCCTGAGTCTTTATCATGAGTCTGAGTCTTCATCATGTCTTCATCATGAGCCTGAGTCTTCATCATGTCTTCATCATGAGCCTGAGTCTTCATCATGTCTTCATCATGAGCCTGAGTCTTCATCATGTCTTCATCATGAATCTGAGTCTTCATCATGTCTTCATCATGAGCCTGAGTCTTCATCATGAGTCTGAGTCTTCATCATGTCTTCATCATGAGCCTGAGTCCTCATCATGTCTTCATCATGAGTCTGAGTCTTCATCATGAGTCTTCAGAGGGTCCCTGTGCTGTGGAAGATGTCCTGCCTTGTTCCTGTGTATTTTGATTGATTGATTGATTGATTGATTGATTGATTGATTGATTGATTGATTGATTGATTGATTGAGGCAGAAGACAGAAGCAGATGACTGTTTCTAGAGCAATAAAACAGTACTCCAGCAGTCTATTCAAAATAGGTTTAACCTGTGAAGCCCTGAGCCTGTTTTTAGGTCTCAGGCTAGAAAATGACATTCCCAGAACAAATGACTATAAAAGGGGTAAATTAATAATCTTTTTTCTCAAAGCAAAGATAGACCTGTGAGTTGGATGTAGAAAAAAGTCAGAATCAATATAGATTTTTTTAATTTGAAAGTAAATTCAGATTGAACATAGTAAAAAATGTAAATGATAGTGTCCGTCCAAAAAAAAAACATTACTTATAGTGAAAACCACCCTTGAATGATGGGATCGCAGACTAAAAGCTTTAGGAATCCAAACTATAACATATAATAAGTACCCTGTATCAAGATTGATGCAAAACAAGTGACATTTGACCTTTTTAGAGAGATTTAGAAAAAAAAAACACTTCTGGGGTCATTTGGGTGGATTTTCCATATCTCTGGCCCCCATCGTCGATTTTGATGATTGACATCTCTTTTGAACCGTTAGAGCCAATAGAATTGAGGAAAGGTTCCTAAAATCCATCTAAACATTACCATTGGTGAATGCATGCCAGCACGCCCAAAACCGGAAGCTGGGTTGTATTCCTCACACACTCTATATGAAAACAACAACAAATCTCAGTTTTTGAGGGGTTTTGACAAAGATGGAATGATGGATTATCAGTAATCATTTCAAAGTGACACAGACACATTGGAGTAACCTTCAGCAGCGTTTTTATCGTTTTAATGCCATTGAACACAACTTTTGATCAGAAAACAGCAAAAGGTAAGACATATTTGCTGTTTGGCTCAGTAAAGCTACGTGGTGTGTTGTCTGGGTTTGATTCCCCTGCCGCGAGTTTTGGTCGCTCAGTGATGATACTTATATTTCTAGAATCTGTGGAATCTCAGCTTGATAGCTGATATCTTGTTTGTGCAGATCCGATAAGTAATAAAGTATTTCTACCGTGAGTTCTGTGCTCAGTGCGTTAGCATTTTTTCGCTTAGGGCTAATTCCGAGGCTTGGTATTACCCTTGTGTTTAGTTTAGCTAAAAGTGGTTAATATCGTCAGTTAGCTGAGTTTCTTCCCGTTAAGTGGGTATGACACATTAATAGGTTTTTAAATGTTCAGAAGCCCTGAGACACAGTTTCGTTTAACAGGTTAAAGTAATGTGAAACCGCCAGAACTACTTCCATGCCCGATCTTTCTAAATGAATGTCAGTGTTTGCATTATTCAGCTGTGATAGAACTGATGCCATTAGTTACACCTGTGCTTTTATTAGACAAGTCAAAATGTCAGCTTAGAAATATGGGCTTTGTTAAGAAGTAAGAACCAAAAAAAAGGTTATAATGTTATTCCTTTTTTTCGCTGCTGCAGATTTACTCGTAACTGAATCTCATCAGGGGAACTGAAGAGAAACAGATTGGAAGTTTTCTGCAAGAGTGAAACAATATGAGCAGAAGTCGTAACTCAGTCGACTAAATGTATAGGCCTTTTTCACGGACGACATTTCGCCATACTGTTTAATCAAAATGCATTCATATAGGTTTGCAGGTTTAGGGCCTTGGGGTTCTGCATACCTGCTCATTGGCTTAATTTAGTAGCAGACTGTTTAAGCAATAATTAATGTCATTAGTCACAGCGTTGCTTTTACTGCTCGACAAGTCAAAATGTCCACTGTGTAAAAAGTATATTTACTTTGAAAAGTGGTTTCATTTTGCCAGTCAAAGCACATTAATTGTACTCAACATTTTCAGTAAAAAGCCAGTGAACTTATGAAG